TCTGTTTTTCTAGTCAAGTAAGCTAATTACTTCTACACCGCTCAGCCTCTCTCTGGCCAGTGGCAGGAGGCTGCGCCCACCCTGCTGACAGGTACACGTCTCCGACTGGCTGGCAATAGCAGTGGACTGGGACTCCTAATTACGGGACGTCCAGCACTACAGACACTCAAATCGCCTGTCATTCTGGCTCAGGAAGAGGCAGCGTGCACCAGTCTGGCAGCTGGCCTGGACCCCGGTAGCAGGGCGGCTGCGCTGCACAAGACCACCGACCAGATCCGTGGCCTTTACAAATGCGGTGGCAGTGGCACACACCTCGCTTACAGGGTTGTCCACCTTCCACCCACCTGCTTCAGAAGCGCATCAGCATCAACGGCAGAGACCCGTTTCCAAGTTACAGGGAGCTCGCCCAAAGGCTCACCCAGCCCAAATTTGGCCAAGACATGATCGAGACTTAAAGGCAGGGAGGTCGCTCTGTCCAGAGTCCCTTTCCTTCACATCCCAGTTGGCTGCCTTTTCACCTGTCACGGCTTGCCCGCTGTTTGTCCTGCTGCAGCTGCAAGAAGGAAAAAGAAAGTAAGAACCCACCCACACAACAAAACATGGAGAGACAGTCTGGGTGTAAGGTACAGAGCCAGACACCGAGACAGCAAGTCGCAATGTCCCTGGAAGGCCTGTTCCTCCGTCTTCTGTTCGACAGAGGGGTGAGCAGGAATTGCCTCCTTCAGCTTCCCAGCACTGGGTCAGTTGGACGTGGAAAGCCACGGGCCACGAGCCTACAGACCCAACTCATACCATGGCACATGATATGGCGCCAGAAGGCACCTGGACTGCTACTGACAGCACGGTGCTCCCCGCCAACCACTGGCTCCCGTGACACAAGGCCAAGCGAAAAAGCGTTGCTCAGGGGCTGTGGTTCAAGAAAACAGCCCCACACCTGGAGGCCAGCAGGCAGAAACTACAGCTGTCCTGACAGGGAAGTCAAACCTCTCAAAGGACCAAAAAAAGGTTCCAAACACCCGCACTCGAGTGGAGGATGTAATGAAACCCCAGATAGCCGTGAGCGGGGGAAGGAACGACTGGCTCCTTGCAGCTGCCACACACTCAAACCCGAGCGACAGCAAGCTCACAACGCCCCGTGTCCTAAAGAGCTCGCCGCCTTTAAAAAGACGGTGGACACGAGATACCTCTAGCTTACAGGATCCTCACTACTCCACCTCACAGTCATCAGCGTACGACACCATCAGGAGCTAAGACACAACTCCTGCTGGTAAGAAAGTGCCAGCGATCCAGCCTTGTAAGGCCCCCTGATCCCAAGGTCTACGGCTCGGCAAGGGAACCAACCCAAAAAAAGGCCCCGCATCAAAACCCCCTGACCTTTCCTGGGCTGGCATGGTTTTCTTCCCCCCTTGTCAGCTGACTCCTGCTCCTGTGTCATCTTTCCTGCTTCTGCTACCGAGGCCTATAATAAGCAGAGGCAGACGCTGCACTTCACTCGCCATATATCGGAAGTCAAGTCTATGGGCCACAACTTCTCTCCCTCTTTACCCCGTACCTGAATCTGCTGCCAAGCCGTCCTCTATCCGCGGAGATGGGGGAGGGCAGGCGGCTGCGGGCTCGGCTCCCGACATCCGGGCCGGCCAGAAGCAGAGGGTGACAGGCCAGAACTCTGGACAGAGCTGCTAGGGCAGCACCACGAGCAGTGACTACAAACACTGAAAACCCTGCTTACAGGGCAGTGCTCCCCACACGCAGCTGGCGGCTGGGGCATGAAGCCCGGAGAAAAACTGCAAAGACCTGAATGCCAGCTGACGAGTGCCCCAGGCAGTCTCAATCAGAGGTCCAAGCTGCCCCATGTCTGGGGACATATGGGCCACGACTTCAGCCTCCCACCACGGAAGCCACAGAGCCCCAAGGGCTAAAGGAGGCCTCCTCCCCCAAGGGCAGAGGGGGTGGGGGTGCAGCCCTGTTTACAGGGTGCGGGGGGAGGCCATCTCATAGCGCCAGGAGCAGCCAAACAGAGAAGCAGAGACCTGGACCTGAGTTACAGGAAGGTCGCTAAGCCTCGGGGTCCCAACACACTCTACATCCTCCAGCAGCCTGCCACCTTCCCTGTAATTTGTGGCTATCGTCTCTGGCCAACCTCACCAAGTGGAACGAAACCCGACCCGAATCAAGGGGACCTGGACCCTGCTGACAGGCTGCAGGCCAGGGGCGGGGGCGCAGGAGAACAGTGGGCCAAGCGCCAGGGCACTCAGCTCCAGGGACTCAGGCAGAGAATACCTGGCCTGCCCCCGAGGAGGAGGGCAGTAACCCTGTATGCGAGTGACCAAGTGGCCCAAAGACCCCCAAAACAAGACAGCCTAAGACCTGGCCCCTGAGATACAGGGAGGTCGCAAGGCCAAAAGTATTAGAGGTTGGGGCCCTAACGCTCCCCGAGGCCAAAAGGCCTGGAAATCTATACCGCTGCTTATCCCCCTAGGTATGGAGGTGGGAGGAGAAGGCTATGAGGCCGCATCTTGCCCCTTTTCCAGCACTGGGAAGAAAATAAAATACGCTGCAGCGATTTTAACAACAAAAAGAAAATAACAAACGCTTTTGTTCCCAGGCGCTCCTCTCCCTTGCTTGCCACACTCAGCCAGGGGAAAAAGTGTTCCCAGGCCAGAAAGGAGCTCCACGCCGCAAACCACTTGTCCTCGAGCCTTACGCTGCAAAATCCTCCTCCGCTCCCAGGGGGCAAGCACAATAAGACCAGCACCCTCCTTACAGGGCACGGCCCGTCTGGCTAGCCAGGCTGCCCACAAGGGGCAAAAGGGAAAGGCCCACAGCCCTGCTTACAGGGGGGGCCCACAGCCAGACAAAGGACAGAGCTGTCCCCAGAGGCACATTTAGACCTGCACCCTGCTTACAGGGGGGTCCGCAGCTCTGCACAGCCTAGCTCTCCTACAGGATGCACGGGACTCGCACCCTCAGTACGGGGCGGCCCCGGGGTCCGGACGTGGTGTACCAGGCACTGATGCAGGACGAGGGACAGATGCCTGGACACAGGGATCGCAGAGAAGGCCACAGGCTCCAACCCAGCCATGGGAGGGTCATCAGGCTCCGGGCTCTAAAGAGTTTGCTGTCACCAGCGAGAGTTGGCTCCTGTCTGCTAGGCCGTGCTGCTGTGCAACGCAGCAGGCCGCTCCGTCTCTCTCCGGCCAGCGCCAGGAGGCTGCGCCCACCCTGCTGACAGGGGCACCTCTCCGACCGGCTGGCAATAGCAGTGGACTCAGACTCCCAATTACAGGATGTCCAGCGCTACACACGTTGGTATCCCCTGTCCTCACGTGTTAGGAGGCGGCACGTTCCCCGCTTACAGGAGGTCGCGCCATTGGCAGTCATGTTTGGCAGCCAGCCTGGACCCCAATTACAGGGTGGCTGCGCTGCACAAGCCCACCAACCAGATCCACGGCCCTTTACAAACGAGGGAATGGTGACACGCGCCTTGCTTACAGGGCTGTCCACCTTGCACCCGACTGCTGCAGAAGTGCAAGAGCTTCAAGGGCAGAGCCCCATTTCTGAGTGACAGGCTCACGCAGCCCAAAGGCTCACATAGCCAAGCCAAAATGTTACTAAGACATGATGGGGACCCAAGGCAGGGAGGTCACTCTGTCCAGAGTCCCTTTCCTTCTCACCCCGTTTCTCTGACTGGCTTTTCTCCTACCTCGCCTCTCCCCCGCTGCTTGCCCATCCGCTTCTCCTTCCCGTTCCTTCGAGGCCTGCAAGAAGAGAGCGAGAGCGGCTGTAGGTGAACAGAGCCAGAGGAGACATTCTGCAGCTTGAACGTCTACTGCCCCCAGCATCCTGCGGAAACCTGCAACTTTCCCCGTTCCCCGCGGGCAATACCCCTGGTCAACTTTACCAAATGGCCTCTAAAGGCAAGGAAGCTGGCCCTTGCTCCCAGAGCAGGGGCCCAGGAAATCCCACCATCCCAAGCCCCCGAGGCTGAGGAACACCGGGGGAGGCGAAGGCAGCTCTGGCTGCAGCGCTCTTCGCTGACACGAGCGCAAGCTGGGGCGAGCGGCCTCTGGCAGCCACCCTCGCTCCCTGCCCCGCTCCCTGCAGCGCCCTTGCCTCGGCTCACTCGGTGCTGAACCCCGCCGGCTCTGCCCGGCCCCTGTCCTCGCCCGAGAGCGGCCGCCTGCCCGCCCAGCCCCATCAGCCCCGGCCTCCTTGCCCGCACCCCAGGGCCACAGTACCCTCCCCGTCCCCCTGCGCGCTGCCTGCTCGCCCTCGTGGGCCCTCGGGCGGCAGGTTGCGGAGGCCCCGGCCAGGGCAGGCCCCACTGCAACCGCCGTTGAGGCCAGACCGGCTCCGCCTGTGCACGCCTGGCTGGGGAGCTGCAGCCCCACTCCGGAGCCCACACCCAGCCCCGGCCTCGCTCCCCACTGTGGCCACGCCCGGCCCCTCCGGCCCCAGCCCCAGCCCCGCTCCGGCGGGAGCCCGCCCTGCGGTGCAGCACTGTCTGCAGGCGCCACCGCCCATCTGCCCAGCGCCGGCGGCCATGAGCCCAGCCAGGCAGCGCGTCCTTCTCCTTCGCCCCGCGCTTCTCCGCTCCGCTCAGCCCCGCTGCAAGATCGCCCGCTTCCTGCCCAACAACACCACCATCCTGCCCCCGCCTTTCCCAAGTGAACACCTCACCGCTTTCCCACCCCGCTCTCCGCACATTTCCACACTCCTTTCTCCAACGCTTCCTGCCTCACCTCCCAGAATCACCCACCCCTCTTCCGCCCACCACTTCCAAAACACCAGGCCGCTTCCCACAACCAACGCCCTATCTGCACACACATTTCCACACCGAGCTCCCCCAGGAGCACACCAAATCGCCCTTCTCACCAAAAAAAATCCCAGCTTTTCTGCTTCGCAGGACTCAGGGCTGCAGCCTCTGGCTCCCACACTCGCCTCCCGGAGACCCGACTCCAGCGCCGCCACCCACTTGGCCCTTTGCAGCAAGAGCGTCGGCGTCCTGGGCGAGCAGCTCGCACGCACTCGGCACGCGGCGGGGACAAGGGAACCGCCGCCGAGATGAAAGCGGCGCAGCGGGCAGGGAAACGTGGACATGAACTGACAGGAGCGGAGAGAGAGAAACAGCGCAGCAGGGAGGGATGAACTTACAGGTGAAAGGCACCAGGCACCAAGGAAGTGGCTGGCAGATCACTTTTGTTTGTCCGTTAAAGAGCAGACAGCTCACGCCTGCTTTTCTCTCGTCTTCTCTCTTTTGGCAGCAACCAATGGGCCCTGCTCCCCGACAGCCTTGAGAGGGCACAAGCCCCCTCAAGTGTCCATCAGCGCTTGACCGCCCGTAGAGCTAAGCAGCACCACATCGTAGCTCGGGCTTGGGGGTATGACAGACTGTCAGTGCTTGACCCTTTTGCGAGCAGGGCAGCCCCACACCACAGCTCGAGAAGATGACCCCGAGAGCAGACAATGGAGACCTCCCGGCCCTTGCCTGCTGCAGCCCCAAATGACGCCTTAAAGAGGGGCCGCGGGCAGAGCCCTCCGCACTGTGCCCGCTGCCCCGCCCTAAAGGCGTCTTAAGGAAGAAACTCCAGAGGTTCGGACCTGACCTGCCGCCGACCCGAATGACACCTTAAGGGAGAACTGCAGGGTCCCTCCGGCCCTCCCCGCTGTTCACCCGAATGATGCCCTAAGATGGAACCGCAGGCAGAGACAAACCGATCCTGCCCGCTGCCCCCCCAATGACACCTTAAGGGCGCACCGGAAATGGCTATGGTCACCGGTGCTTGACAGGGACTACGAGCCACGCAGCACTCACATGGCTCTGGATATCACTCCCCACAGCCTGACACACCCCTGGGCCTGCAAAGGGGCCGTAGGTCCCCAACAGCAACCCAAGTACTGCCCCCCCCCGGCACAGAGGCTGCAGAAAGCTCCGCCTCACCTGGTCCGGACGCGGCCTCTTCAGGGCGCTTCCGGGGTTACCGCTCCCTCCCGCTGGCCACCTCCACCAGCTCTTTTCTGCCCTCCGCCGTCGCCGATGCCGCTCGTGCACTCTGCACGCGGCCTTTTATCCCTGCTGGAGGCCCCGCCCCCGAGGGGGGACCAATAGGAAAGCTCGAGGGGGTCAGTCCCCCTCAGAGCCACTTTAGCACCTCGCCCCTAGGTCAGGGCGGGCAAGCCTTCCTTCTGCCGTCTCCCGATTGGCGGGGAGAGAAACGCCACTTTCCCCACAAAAACACCACCACGTTTCCACGCGACATGACTGAATCCCCACACACGTCACCAGCCTGCCACACGGCACCACGAAAGCATTCCCGAATCCCCATGGAAGCAGCGCACAGCCTCGCAGGGGACAAGAAGGCACCGCCTCACCACACGCTTCGCCTCGCGCCGCGCCGTTTCCCACAGAAGGATCACCAGATCGCCACAGACGCCTGCATGAGAAGTTGGGGGAAGAAATCAATAATCAAGTTTCCCACAGAAGTATCATTCCCCACCCCCGCACCCCGCCACAAGTTTCCAAATTACCACAAAAAAATCACCACAGGTGTCCTCCCAAAACACTCACCAGCGTCCCACACAGTTACCACAGCATCGCACTATTTTCCAGCGGAGAAGCGATGGCTTCTGGGGATTCCTTTATGGTTCGAGCTTGTGTTTAGTGAAGCGCTTGTGTTTGCGCTCTGCAAGCTCTCTTCGCTCCAGCACGGGACTCTCCCCCACCCGCCCGGCTGCTCCCCGCGCTCCTACCGGCCTGCGCAGGCCTATGCCCGGAGCGGAGCCCATCTCAGCGAACCAAATTATTGGCTGAACCCAATTATTCCTGGGGAATTGAAAGCGCCACACATGGTGCGGTGCACCACATTTTCCCCACAGTTTTGGGAGGAAAAGGAGGCAAAAGCGACGGGAAAAGAGGGAGAGAGAGAGAGAGTACCCAGGTACCCTGTGCCTAGGTCTTGCGTCCCCTCTGGCCAACCTCACCAAGTGCAACGAGACCGGACCTGGACAATCAAGGGGACCTGGACCCTGGTTACAGCCTGCAGGCCGGGGGCGAGGGCGCAGAAGAAGGCTGCTCAAGTGCCAGGGAACTCGTCTCCAGGGACTGGGGCAGGGAATGCCTAGCCTGCCCCCGAGAAGGAGGGCACTAACCCCGCATGCGAGGGACCAAGGGGCCGAAAGAACATGTCAGCCACTCAAAAAGAGGGGGTCTCTCCGCCGCAATGCCCGGCGCCGCCACAGGAGGGCGGCTCTCAGCTCGGATTAGTCTCCGCCTTCCCCCGCTGCGTCAATGCCCGGACGGGACCACAGGAGGGCAGCACCGAGCAGCGGACCGGCCTCCCCTCCTCGGCGCGGCTCCTCGCGGCTGCAATGCTCGGAGACCACCACGGGAGGGCAGCACTGAGCCAGGTTTGTCTTAACACTGAGGGAGACACAAAGCCGGACTCAGAGCCGCCCTCCTGTGGCCGCGCCGGGGAGACCCGGGCGGGCACCGCAGCCGGCTCCGCGCTGGGCGCATGGGCCTGGAGCGGGGCCGGGAGCCCGGAGATACCGGGCCGGAACAAAGCCGGCTTCGTCCCGCCCTCCCCGCGCTTCACCCTGCGCGGAGCCGGGCTTTAAAGGCAGAGAAAACAAAACTCTGCCGGCACATGGAGGAGACAGGGAGGCTTCCCAGGAGGGAAGAGAGAAAAGGGGCACCGGGACAGATAAACAGCTTCAAGCTCAACACCCATCTCAGAGGCGAGCCTGACAGGTCCCGCGCCCTGGGAAGGCAGTGTCCTGCACGACACGCCCAGGTCGTCAGAACATCCCGGCGCAGCTCTCCGGGATGCCCGGGTGTGCGGGGCAGCAGCGGGACGTGGCCTCCGGGCACACCGGACCCGGCAGCGGAGACACAACCAGCTGAGCGGGGCCCTAAGGATCGGAGTCGGACCAATCGGAACACACAAACGTGCACAGAGCCCACCGTTCCCTGGCAGCCAATCAGAATGCGATGGGGGGGGGTTCTTTTGGGCCCGCCTCCTCGTACCAAAGCTAATCAAAGTGAACAAGGGCGGAGCCGCCCTGACCCCGCCCATAAGGCTACTCAACCCAATCGCCTCATGCCTCAAGGTGGCCAATGAAAACGCGGGCCTCCGATCCCGCTCCGGAAGGAAGGTCCGTGAATCGTGTGTCCACCCCAGCCGTGGTCACTGCTCCAGTCACGTCCCGAGCGAGCGGGCAAGCGAGGCCTTGTTTCCTCCTCTGCGCCTCTCTCGCCTGGCTGCAATATGCTGCAAGACCCACAGGCCGCCGGCAATGACCTGCTGCTCTCTCTCGGCCCTTGTCGTCCGGCTGCAAAGCCCGCAGTGCAGCACGGGACGGCAGCACCGGGCCTGTTTTTATCTCTCTGGCTGAATTTCCTGGCTGCCGTGCCCAGTGCGAAGCTCCGGACCGCGGTACTGGGCCCGTTTTGTTATGTGCCAGGATCCCCAGGCCGCGAAGCCCCGTTAGAAACGCGCCGGCGGCCCCGACCCTTTCCCTTCTTCTCCGCCCTTCTCTCCTGGCTGCAAGGCGGAGCGCGAGCCACAGGAGGGCGGCACTGAGCAGCGGGCTAGTCTCCCCTCCGGGGGGCTGCAGTGCTCGGAGCGTACCACGGGAGGGCAGCACTGAGCCGGACCACGGATGCACGATACCTATTATGTACTAACTACAGACACTAGTATGCGGTGATATGCAACGATGAGAGTTGAACAGCTGTATCAGTGTCGCCATGGATAGAGAAAGAGAGATCACTGTGTTAATGATGGTGTGTATTGCGCACACACACGCACGCCATCTGCACGTCGGGATACAAAAGAATCAAGGGGACCGGGACCCTGCTTACAGGCTGCAGGCCAGGAGCGGGGACGCAGAAGAACGGCTGGCCAAGGGCAGGGCACTCATCACCAGAGACTCGAGTAAGGAATACATGGCCTGCGCCCAAGAAGGAGGGCAGTTACCCTGCATGAAAGCTACCAAGCGGCTGAAATAACATGGCAGCTACTCAAAAAGAGGGGGTCTCCCCGCCGCAATGCCCGGCGCCGCCACAGGAGGGCGGCTCTCAGCTCGGATTAGTCTCCGCCTTCCCCCGCTGCGTCAATGCCCGGACGGGACCACAGGAGGGCAGCACCGAGCAGCGGAGTCGCCTCCCCTCCGCAGCGCCGCTCCTCGTGGCTGCAGTGCTCGGAGCCCCCCACAGCAGGGCAGCACTGAGCCGGGTTTGCCTTCACACTGAGGAAGAGACAAAGCCGAACTCAGAGCCGCCCTCCTGTGGCCGCGCTGGGCATTGCGGCGGGAAGACCCGGGCGGGCACCGCAGCCGGCTCTCTGCCGCCCTCCCTGCGGTTCACCCTGAGCGGAGCAGACGGGCTTTAAGGGCAGAGAAAACAAAACCCTGCCGGCACATGGAGGAGACAGGGAGGCTTCCCAGGAGGGAGAAGGAGAGAAAACAGCTTCAAGCTCAACACCCACCTCAGAGGCGAGCCCGACAGGCCCCGCGCCCTGGGACCGCAGTGTCCCGCACGACCCGCCCAGGTCGCCAGAACATCCCGCCGCAGCTCTCCGGCACAGCCCGGGACTGTGTTAATTATGGTGTGTATTACCCACACGCGCACGCTATCTGCATGTCGGTATACACACACAGCCTTACTGGATACATCGTTGTACAATTTAAGTTTTCCGAAGTAAGTACGCAATGAATAACACCCTCACTTCGGCTCTCTGTTCTGTTTTATACTATTTTACGCCAAAGGTCCTAAACTCTCCCGTAGAATTGATGTCCAGCGGTGTTTCCTGAACGAAGAACTGGTTTTCTTTTCTTTTCTTGTTTTTCTCTCTTTAAAAAAGGGAAAGTTGGTGCTTTGCAAGGTGCTCTCTACAGAGGTTTCAGCGTCACCAGACAAGCAAACGGTGCTTCTTGGGACCCACGTGAACCCCCGTAGATCACCTCCCATCACGTCGAGGAGACAGGGTGGCTCCCCAGGCGGCAGGCGGAGAAGAGAAAAGGGGCCGTGGGACAGACCAGAGCTTTACACTGCAACACCCACCTCAGAAGAGAGCTCCACAGGCCCCGCGCCCTGGGGACGCAGTCTCCCGCACGACCCGCCGTGGTCGCCAGAGCAGCTGTCGCAGCTCTCCGGCACCGCCCGCCGGTCTGCCCAGCAGCGGGACGTGGGCTCCGCGCCGCGCGGGCCGACGAACCGCAGAGCTGGGCCGCCGAGCCTCAGAGTCGGACCAATGGGCACACAGAAGCCTACACACACCCACCATTCTCGGCAGCCAATCACAATGTGAAGAAGGAAGCCGAGCTTTTGGTCCCGCCTCATCCGGCACAGGCCAATCAGAGCGAAGATGGGCGGAGTGGCTGTGACCCCGCCCAAGCGGCCACAACACCCAATCGCCTCACGGCTCATGGCGCCCAATGGGAACACGAGCCTTCCATCCCGGCCCTGGAGCTGTGCCCGGCCTTGAATCAATGTCCGTGAATCGTGTGTCCGCCACGGGCAACACGACCCCGCCTGGCCCCGGCCGCGGGCACTGTCCGAGTGACTCCCGAGCGAGCGAGGTCTTTGCTTTTGTCTCCCTGCCTTGATCTCCCGCCTGCCCGAGCTGCAGGCGCGGGGCCCGGAGCCGCTGTCCCTCTCTCTGCCCTCATCTCCCGGCTGCAAAGCCCGGCTTGAGTCGTAGGGCAGTAGCACAGGGCAGGGTTTTCTTTTCTCTGCTTTGAAAAACCGGCTGCTTCGCGCAGGGTGAAGTGCAGTGAGGACGGCACGAAGCCGGCTTTGCTGCGGGTCGGTATCTCCGGGCACTAAGCCCCGCTCCAGGCCCAGGCGGCAGCGCGGAGCCGGCTTGGGTGCCCGCCCGGGTCTGCAGGCGGCAATGCCCGGCGCGGCCACAGGAGGGTGGCTCTGAGCCCGGCTTTTCCTCCGCCTTCACGTGCGAGGTCAATGCCCCGACGGGACCACAGGAGGGCAGCACCGAACAGCGGGTTCGTCTACCCTCCGCTGCGCCGCTCCTCGTGGCTGCAGTGCTCGGACCGAGCCGCAGGAGGGCAGCACTGAGCCGGGTTTAATCATAGCACGCCTGGATGGTCACAGTACCTATCATGTACATGCATGAACTACAGCCACTAGTATATGGGCATACGCAGAGAGGATATATTAATATCTATATCACTATCCCCATGCATAGAGATAAACATAGAGCTAGTATTAGGATCACTGTGTTAATTATGGTGTGTATTATACACACACACACATTATTTGCATAGCAGCATACATACACACCCCTACTGGATACATCTCTGCACAGGTTCAAGTTTTTCAAAGTGAGTACACAATGAATAACACCATCACTTCAACCCCATTCTCAATATCATACTGCTACACCAAAAATCCCAAACTCTCCCCTGGAATTGAACTCAAGTCTTGCTGTGCTCCCTGAACATCAGGTTTTTCATACCTTTTTCTCTTTAAAAAATGAAAAATTGGTGTATTGCAAGGTGCTCTCGAAAGACGTTTCAGCATCAGGCCAGAAGCAAATGGTCCTTCTTGGGAAGTTCATGTGCACCCCCTTTGACCACCTCCCAGTATCTACAAGACAGAGGGTGGCTACCCAGGCGGGAGGAGAAAAGGGGCACTGGGACAGAGAAACAGCTTCAAGCTGAGAGAAGGAAAGAGTGGGAGCAAGGAAGTCTCTTCCCCACCCACCTCGCAACTCTCCAGGTGTAGGTGGGACATACTGGTTGAGCCACGCTGCAGACTGTGATGGGACAATGGGTTTCATGGGAGGCCTTCAGGGGAAGGGGGAGAGAGGCTGACAGAGACATTAGTGTCACAGGCCCTGTGGTGTTGGCCACAGAAAGATAAAAGGCTAATACATGTTGAAGCTTGCTGCAGTCCACATGCTCAACACCAGTCTGGGCACAGGGAGGTACAACAGCAAGTCTGTGGGTCTGGGCCCTGGTATCAGCCTAGCCCATGCTTTGGGAAGGTGCTTTAGTAGTTGGAGGTGAGAGCTGCAGCCACTGGAGCTGGTACCTTTGGACATGTGCAAGTGAACAATGTGCATCCAGTCAGAAGTCGAGGCACCTCCTGGAACACGGTGTCCCCTCAGCGTGTCAAAGGCAGGAACACACACTCACCCGCTGCCAGGGCTGGCTCGGATCTTTCCAAGAGACTGGTGCAATGGGCCCCAAATGCCCATTTCTGAGCAGTCCGCACAGTGACCTGTTGCAGACATGATAGCTGGTGAGGGCCCTTCACATGAGGTAAAACACTTGTGCTGTTAACCGCAACACAGATGAGGGTTAAATGACCCTGCTGCCAGCCTCGGCCATTTTCAAGGTGCCTAGGCTAAGTTACAGAAAGGCTGCTAAGCAGAAGGCCCAAAGACTTGTTCTGAATGACAGCAGCATGAACCTTTCCAGATGTGACAACTAATTCGGTCAGCAAGTAAAGGAAACCATCAAATAATTAAACAAATTATGAAGCCTAAAAGGAGCTAAGAAAAGTCTATACAATGAATAATCCACATATGCTATATCATAGCTTTATCTTGAAGTACTAGTGGTAGTAACTGATGTAACTAAATGTATATTTATAAATAATACCATAGGCTGAAGAGAAATGCAGAGAACTCAGCAAAATCAAGAGGACCTGCTGTTAATCTGTGTGCTACTCTCCTCCCACCTCCTGGGTCTCCCCAGCCAATACAGGTGAGAACCTATGTTTTATGGTCATAGGCAGCCAGGTAGACTTTGGAATAAATATTTGTTCTCATGTTCTAAGGTGCAAACAAATAAAAGGTTTCGCAGATGTTAGGCTCGGAAGGGACCTATTAGATCATCGAGTCCAACCCCCTGCCCTGGGCAGGAATGAGTGCTGGGGTCAGATGACTCCAGCCAGGTGTCTGTCCAATCTCCTTTTAAATACCCACAAGGAAGAGGACAGCACCACCTCCGTTGGAAGCGTATTCCATATTTTGGCAACCATCACTGTACAGAATTTTCTCCTGATGTCCAATCTGAATTTGCTCTCTTCCAGTTTGTGGCCATTATTTCTAGTTACACCAGCAGCTGCCACGGTAAACATCATATCCCCTATTCCTGCTGGCCCCCTGATGCGTTTGTAGGCAGCCACGGGATCACCTCTCAGCCTCCTCTTGCAGGGGCTGAAGAGGTTCAGGTCTCCCAATCAGTCCACAGAGGGTTTTTGCTGTAGGCCTTTAACCAGATGAGCGCCCCGTTTCTGAACTCTCTCCAGCCATCCATATCCCTCTTGAAGTGCGGTGCCCAAAACTGCACGCGGTACTCCAGCTGCGGCCTGACCAGTGCTGCATAGAGGGGAAGTATCACCGCCCTAGACATGTCCGTGATGCAATGCAAGTATGGGTGTGGTTAGCTTTACTTATTACCTCATCACACTGGTGACTGGTATTCATTTTGGAGTCAACTAGGACTCCGAGATCCCTTTCCGCAGTTGTGCTACTCAGTATGGTCCCTCCCAGGCTGTAGGAGTGTTGATGATTCTCCTCCGCAGGTGCAACACATGGCACTTGTCCTTGTTAACCTGCATCCTATTCTGTGCCGTCTAGTTTGTGTACCTCCCCCCATAGTTTGGTGTCATCAGCAAACTTGGACAGGGTGCCTTCTACTCCCTTGTCCAAGTCACTAATGACGATATTGAATAGTACCGGGCCCAGGACTGAGCCTTGGGGGTCTCTGCTGCCTACATTTCTCCAGGTAGAAGCCAACCCATACACCACTCTCTGGCTGTGTCCCATACGCCAATATTCTACCCACCAGACTGTGTAATAATCTACATTGCAACTGTTTAGTTTATTTATAAGAATTGGGTGTGACATTGTTTAGTTTATTTATAAGAATTGGGTGTGTCAAAGGCCTTTTTTAAATCTGAAACACCATGAGTAGCATGTCAGAAAAGTTTCAAGGGAGCTGAGATGTATAGTTCAGTGATGACACTCAATGCCAATGAGGCAACCTCAAGAAAGAACAAAGTTCCAGGCCTTGACTCAGTTTCCCTGCTCTATTCAATGGGCCAAGAGATTCTCATCTCAGAGAAGTGGGCTGGAATACATAAATTTCAGCCTGAACTCTATAAAATCCCCGCACAAAGGCAAAGGTGTGGGATTCTGGAACCGACCTCAAAGGTGGAGGATGTACAGCGAGGGGCCCTGGCACCTTGCCCCCCAGTACTGAGTATGTCTGTGTACTCTTTGCTGTATGTAGCTGCTCTTGGCAAAGGTGCTCAATTACTAAGGTCCCAATAAACTGGTGGAGGTTTTTTTTGAAGAACTTGCTTTGGCTTTTCTTGTACTTGTCCAGAGATATCCTGGGTGTAATATATGTGCATCAGATTACACCGGGGTGGGCAACGTAGGGCTCAGAGGCTGGATCTGGCCCGTGGAGGGCCGTTGTTCAGACGGCCCACGGCAGGTCCCCCGGTCCCACCTGACCCGGGCACAGTCCAACCCGTGGCACCCCCCACGGCTACGCGGCTGGACTGCCTCTCTCGCTCCGACTCCATCCACCCCGCTCCGGACTCAGCGACAGGAGCGTCTCCAGACCAGCCCAACCTTCCGCCCCCGGCCAGGCTTGCCCCGGACTCGCCCAGACCCTCTGAGCAAAAATCCGGAGCAGCGGCGGCCAAGCAGAAGCTGCTGCTCGGCACAATGGAGCAGCGGCCCCACAGACTTCTCAGCTGCTAGGACCTTCTTCCTGCAGCCCACGGCCAGACCGCTCTGAGATTCCTCGACTGTGCCACCACCGCCGAGCTGGGCAGCCCGGAAGCGACGACGAGCCCCAGCGCAACCCGGGCAGGGAATCCAGGAGGGACACGCGATGCGCATAAGCTCTAGAGTGCAGGGCTCCCAATCACGCAACGAAAATATCGATAACGGCCAAACACGCATGCGTACTTGGGAAGAGGTGGTGCATCACATTTGCCCATCAATGGGCAAAGCAAGTCTGCATGTGTGAGGCACTGAGAGGCTGATCAGCTCAACACCGAATATATGGTACCGACAAGTCCGCATGCGCAGTAGTCTCAGCTGTAACACATCGACTGCCGACATCAAGGATTGGTGCATACCTCCTGGGAAATACCAGACACTGGCAGAGCACGAGCCATGGATAGGTTTCCATGGTTAGAGGCAGTGACAACAAGACGAGCGTCGAGACTATCAAGGCACGAGTCTCAATGCGCATGCGCACTGGGAATGACCACTAGTCTTCTCCGGGCCCAACATTCGAGGCAGGGATGAAATCGCCCCCCAAACCTCTCTCCTGGCCTGGAGCCTCAGCCACGCCAAGTACAGAACTGGCGTGTGTGAAAGCAGCCGCCACGTTAAGCCATCAGTTTGGGGGGTGGGGAAACGGAATACCCACTGCGCATGTGTGGTACAGAGCGTGCTCCCAGTAAAGCGCCAAAAACATCGATGACAGACCATAAAAACGCATGCACACTTGGGAAGAGATGGTGCATCATGTTTGCCCATCAATGGGCATAGCGAGGATGCATGCGCGGATCGTTGGGGCATGACCAACTGAATTCAGGAGTTATCGATTATGTTGAACTTTGCACACGCGCAGCGGTGTAGTCCAAACCACTCCCCGATATTCCAGATTGGCGCATGCATCTTGAGAATTAATGGACCCTGCCGGAGCAAGTCATTAATAGGTTTCCATGGTTACAGAGGCAGTGACAACAGGACGAGCACCGAAACACTGAAGGCACGAGTCCCACTGTGCATGCACACTGGCAATGAGCGCTACAATACCCTCTGGGGCCAGTACTGGGGAAAAAGTCAGGGATGGACACCCCCCCCGCCCCACTGCTGCAGCCACGCAGGATGCCCACAGCCAGTATGTGGGAAAGTGTCAGTGGCATTAAGCCATAACTGGATGAGACCCAGTGCGTATGCATGGTACAGAACAAGCTCTCAGTAAAGCACCGAAAGCATCTATGACAGACTACGACAACACACGCACACTTGTCAGACCAACTTGGTGGTGTTCTATGACCAGATCACCAAATCCTTAGATGCAGGGGTAGCAGTGGACTTTCGGAAGGCCTTCGACATTGTCTCTCACCCCGTTCTCATTAAGAAACTGGAGGACTGTGGTCTTGGCAACCCATTTGACTGTGTGGGTGTCAACTGGCTGGAGGGCCGCACCCAGAGAGTGGTGGTGGACGGGTCATTTTCAACCTGGAGGGATGTGGGCAGTGGGGTGCCCCAGGGCTCGGCCCTCGGGCCTGCACTGTTCAACATCTTCATCAGTGACTTGGACGAGGGGGTAAAAAGCACCCTGTTCAAATTTGCTGATGACACGAAGATGTGGGGGGACGTGGGCATGCTAGAAGGGAGGAATAGGCTGCAATCAGACACAGACAGGTTACAGGGGTGGGCGGACGAGAATAGGATGGGATTCAACACCGACAAGTGCAAGGTGATGCACCTGGGGAGGAAGAACCAGCACCATACCTACAGGCCGGGGAACTCCCTTCTCGTCAGTGCAGAGGCAGAAAAGGATCTTGGAGTCATCGTTGATGCCAGGATGAACATGGGCCATCAGTGTGGGGATGCAGTCAGGAAGGCCAACCGCACCTTGTCACACATCCACAGATGCATCTCAAGCAGGTCCAGGGAGGTGATCCTTCCCCTCTATGCGGCACTGGTCAGGCCGCAGTTGGAGTACTGCTTCCACTTCTGGACGTTGCAATTCAAGAGGGATGTGGACAACATGGAGAGGGTCCAGAGGAGGGCCACTCGCATGATCAGGGGGCAGCAGGGCAGGCCCGACGAGGACAGGCTACGGGACCTGACCCTGTTCAGCCTCCACAAGAGAAGGCTGTGGTGGGATCTAGTGGCCTGTTACAAACTATTCAGAGGGGACCAGCAGGCATTGGGGAAGTCCCTGTTCCCCCGAGCACTACCAGGAGTGACCAGGAATAACGGTCACAAGTTGTCAGTGAGTAGATTTAGGCTAGATATCAGGAGGCGCTACTTCATCGTCAGGGCGGCTAGGATCTGGAACCAACTTCCAGGAGAAGTGGTGCTGGCTCCTACCCTGGGGGGTTTTAAGAGGAGGCTAGATGTACACCTTGCTGGGGTCATTTGACCCCAGTACTCTTTCCTGCCACGGCAGGGGATTGGACTCGATGATCTGCTCAGGTCCCTTCCAACCCTAGAAACTATGAAGAGGCGATGCATCGCATTTGCCCATCAATGGGTAAATCGAGTAGGCATGCGCGGGGTGCTGAAGGGTTGATCGGCTGGGCTCCAAATTTATCAACGGTTCTGGATCCTGCACATGCTTACTGGGTGCTGTCAAAACATTGATCGCAGCGCACGTGTCCAAGGAATCAGCGGACGCTGAAAGAACAGGCACCATAGATGGATTTCCATGGTTACAGAGGGAGTGACAACAGGACGAGCACCAAAAACTATCAAGGCGCGGGTCTCAGAACTCATGCGCACTGGGAATAAGCGCTACAGCCCCTTCTGGGGCTAATACTGGTGGCGGGGGCAGGGACGGCCCCTCCCCTCTCACTCCGGGCCCGCAGGGGAAGCCACCCAAGGCCACGGCGCCAGTGTTGGGGAAAGTGAGGTGGCATTAAGCCATCACCGGGGGGGGGGTGCACACCCAGAGCACACGCGCTGTACAGATCCAACTGCCAGTCCCGCGATGAAAACATCGACGAGCGGCCATAAGCACGCGTATGCCCTAATGAAGAGGGGGGCCTATCGCATTTGCCTATTACTGGGCAAACCAAGTACGCATGCGCACGGCAACGAGCGGCTGACTAGCGCTTGCCAGTGTGCATGCGTAGTGGTCGCAGTCAAAATGCGCCGAACACCGATATGGATTTGCGCATTCGTCCTGGAGTCATGGATTTGTTCCATGGTTACAGAAGCACTGCTTAGAGGACGAGTGCCAAAGCTATCAAGGCACAAGTCTCACTGCACATGCGCACTGGGAATGAGGGCTAGAGCCTCTTCTGGGGTCAACAGTCGGGGAAAGGGGCAGGGACGCCTGCTCCCCTCTCACTCCGGGTCACCAGCGGGAGCCACCGGGAGGCACAGCACCGCTGCACAGGACAGTGGCAGTGGCATTAAGCCATCACTGGGGGAGACCCAGTCCGCATATGCTGTACAGGGCAGTCTCCCTGTCGCGTGAGGAAAACATCGATGAGGGGTCATGAATACACATGCCTACTTAGGAAGAAGTGGCATATCGTGTTTGCCCATCTATGGGCAAAGCAGTTGCACATGCGCGGTACGAGGTTGCATGAAGGGAACACTGAATTGAGTGATGTTACTAGTAAATGCACATTCGTAGTGATCCCAAACAAAATACATCAAGCACTGAGAGTATGGATTGGTGCATGCGTCATTAGAATAGGGGAACGCTGCCAATGCAGGAGGCATGGATGAGTTTCCATGGTTACACAGGCAGCGATGACAGGACCAGCGCCAAAACTATCGAGTTGTCACCTCTGGGTGCATGTGCATTGGGAGCAGGCTGCGGCAACCGAATGCCAGCACTATGGATTTGTGCCACGAAATGCACACGGGGAACGGAGAGCAATGACAAGGTCGAGCACTGAAAGTATCTATGCGCGAGATCACATGGGCAGGGCGAAACAGGGGGGCAGGCGCTGTGGCTGAGACCCAGGTGAGCCCCGCGGGCCCAAGAGCAAGGAGCAACCCCGTGCAGAAGGGGCCAGGGCTCCATTTACATCACAGGGAAGAGCCTGAGAAAGTGCAATAAGAACCTGTTTCTCCAGCCTTTAATAATATAGACGAGACTGAAAACCAGTAACTGCTTTCTGGACAGGTGGGAAACAGCAGTTCAAAGCAGCACCTGATGTTTGGTTTTGTGAACCTGCTGGAAACTAAACTAGGTCTGAACAGCAAAGCAAAACACACAACAGGGCAAAGAGCATTCCCAGGCAGGCAAGGCAAGAGATGAGCAGTGCTCCTCTCTCTCTTCCAGAGTTGTATTTTTCCCCAGGGACACAGGCCCCAGCTCATTGGCATCTCCCCAGTCCACAGAAAAACAAGTTCACTCACATTCCCAAAGTTTCAGTGAAACACATTTGCATTACACCTATTGCTATCAGAATACTGATTTTAAAAACCCACATATAAATTTTAGGTGTAAACAGAGGGAAACTTTACAAAGACCTTTGCAAAGTGGGGACAACCTGCTGTTAGCCTCCTCCCTCCTGCATCTCCCCAGCTGGTAGAGGTGAGAATCTGTATTGTGGTGTTGCAGGTAACTAGGCAGGCATAGACAGAAGTGTTTATTCTCGTGCTTTGAGGTGTAATGGATAAAAGGTTGGATTAAAGACCTGTCTCTTGCCTCTCCTTCTGGCTTGGGTGGTAGTACCTTACCTGTTCAGAGGGAATGGAAGATCCAAGGTGATGCATTTGCCTTTAAAAGGCTGGTGTCGCACAGAACGAACTTTGGGGCAGGGGCCTTTGATGGAGGTGGGCCTTCTTGCTCCCCCTTGTGTCCTGAGGACCCCATGAGCAGACAGCTGGGGAGAGGGGAGGATAAATAGTGTTAAGGGGGGCCTGAGAGGAGGACTGGTAGCAAAGGTGTAGAGGCAGCATGCAGGGCTTGAGAGGTACGTCCCCAGGGAGAAAGGGGGAGCCCTGGGGTTGGGGCCAGGCTGGGACCCTGGGGAGGCAATGGAGTAGTTGACTGGTGGAGGTGTGGGGCTGGAGGCTGGATAGGGTGGGTGGTTGGTCCTGCTAGGCGGAGGCTGTGGGGAGAAGAGTTAGGCTCCTTTCCCACCTCAGATGGGACCCTGGATGGGACGGCTCTTGCACTGAGACTGTGAAAAAGGCAGTCAAGGGCACTATGGCCCCCCAGAGGCAGCAGAAGGCCTCAAGGTAGGGGTAGGGGCAAGGGAGGTTTTTTGGGGGGCAGACCCACGGGGTAAGGAGTCTTGGGGGTGGGGTGAGGGCCTCCTGAGGGTGGGCACTGCTGTCCTTAGGGTCCCAAAGAACTGGACTAGTATGGGGAAGGGGCTCTGACAGCATGCTAAGAGGATGAGTGAGGAATCCAGGGCCCCCCAAAACTCAGGGTCCCCAAAGGTCAGTGAGGGGCAAGGCTTCCTGCAGTGGGGTGCAACTGCCTGGGGAAGGTGGGGGTGGGGCAGGGTGAGGGCAGCCATGAATGCTGAAGCCCCAGTCTGGTCTGCGGGGCCCTCTCCACCATCCCCACTCCCAGCCTGAGACCAACCCCATACCCTACTACTCCTCACCTTGATCTGAGCCTTCCTAGCATCCTCCTGTTGGTCAGCACCTGCAGCCATAATCCTGTCCTGCACCCCCTGCCCTCTGACCCCCCCACCCAGGCTTCCCTCAAGCCCCGTCCCTGCTCACCTCCTGGGTCTCCCTTGACTGCTGCCCACTCCCCACAGGCATTGCCCTGCTCGCTGCCTGTACCCTGCCCCGCCCCTCGTGCCGTCTGCCAGGCGGGGGCTGTCTGGAGGGACCCCTGCCGCTGCCCGCACTACAGGGCCTGCCCCCTGCCCCTGCCAGGAGGCGAGGCCCCCCAAGGACGTCGCACCTGAAAACAGCCAGAACCGGCCGCGCTTTGGAAGGGCCTGAGGGGGCCAAGCTGGGCCCAGCCCGGGTTCCGCCGCCACCAGAGAACGAGGTCCGAGAGCGGGGAGCAAGCAGCAGATGGGGGGAGGACTCAGTCCCTCCGACTCGCGCTGCTCCGCGCTGGATGCGGAGCCTGGGCTGGGGTCGGGTTCCAGTTCCGGAGGAGTAACAGGGATGCACAGCCAGCCCGGCCGTGCCTCCGTGCCTGGATCCACGCGGGGCGGGGCGGAAGGCGGGACCCGAGCGCCGGAAGCGGCCGGAGGCTCAGCCCCGTTGCTACGGAAGTGAGGTCACACAGCATGGCGGCTGTGGTCGGGGGTCGCTGAGGAGGCGCCAGGCCCCGGGGAATCCGCGTCCATCCGCCGCCTCCCTGGTGCCGCGCGCGGTCCCGGGGCCGCGATGGTGCCGGGAGCCGCCAGGCTCTGAGCCGCGGGCCGCGCCGCCGACATGGAGCTGCGCGTCGGGAACCGCTATC